CAGAGGTAGGATAGAGTTTGCTCAGTTAACAAAAGCAAATGTGAAGACCTGTGTATCTTGCCCACAATTATCTTGGCTGGTTAAAACCACTGAAGAACACTAGTGGGAGAAATTGCGACTGCTTCTCTGTGGGCAGGCAAGATACTTGTGGCTCCCCCTTGAACTAGGGAGGATTTTCCCCAGCTATCATCTTTTCTGTTTGGGGTAAATAGCTAAGGAGAATGCAATGAAGGTTTGGAAGCCTCGTGTTTTCCTGACTTCAGATAACCTGTTTTTTGTTTATGTGTATCTCCTCTATCCTGATGTCCTGGCTGTGATGTGAGGTCAGTGATCCTCTTGGTGCCATACCCACCTAGTTTTCACGATCACAATGAGCAGCATCACCAGTCACAATCCATAGGTGCAGCCCAGCGCCTGGCAGTGGGTTATTTGCCAAAGGTGAGGACTCCTATACAGTGGTTTCCTCTTTCATTAGGGACAGTTCTTCCCAGCTATGGAACTGCTATCTTTCCTGGTTTAAGCAAATAAATAACTAAGAAGTTTGCAGACACTGCCACACTGGCTCTCCTGTTTTCCAAGGACACTAGACAAGGATTGCAGATACTGTGCATCACTTTCTGGCTTTTTGTCCCACTTGTATTCTGTTGTTGGCAAATGAAAAACTTAATTCACTTTCATTAGTAGTTTCAAGGAGTGGAAGAATACACCCCCAGACTTAGGGCCAGCTTCTCCACTCATGGGCAATGTATTAATTACATTGTATTAAGGTATTAATTAATGTTGTTGTGCTGCACACGTTATGCAATATTTGGTCTTGGACCCTCAAGCCTTGACCTGTGACAAACCAACAGTGAAGACCCATGGCATGACCTGATACTTTTCTGAAACAGGCCAGCCTTTGCCAGAGGCAGGGCACAAGCAGCTCCCTCAGAAAGCTGCAATCAACATAGAAAGACAGGTCCCTAGAGCACACAAAAAGAAGTAACCACACATGAGATCCAGATATCATAGAAAGAGGACCATATCTTCTACATATAAATGCAGAAAAGGAGGCCACCCTCACATGGGTGACACAGCCACCCATATGCAGCATTTCTATCCTTTCTTTTTCTTTGTGGATGGCTACAGAGCTGCAAGGAAGATACTGACAAGCAGTCGAGGAATTCAGCTGCTGGTTGACTGCAGGACTTGGGAGCTGGAGGGTGAAAGTGATGCATGGAAATTAAGTTAATTTTAAACCGCAGGCAAGAGAAGAGACTTGCTAGCAGTTACTTATGAGAAGTTGCTGATTGTTTAAATACCATTAAGAGGATTAATGTTGGCCCGCAGAACCACTGAAAAATTAAGGCTGAAAGGGACTTTGAAAGGTCAGACCAGTCCATCCTGCTAACCCAAGGCAGGATCACCTAAACCTCGGACATCCCTGACAGATGTTGCTTAACTTGATCTTAAAGCTCTCCACTCCCCAGGCAGCCCATTCTTTATTATCCCTGTCATTAGAAAGTTTTTCCTAACATCTAAATTGAGTCTTTCCTGCTGTGACTTAAGCCTTCTTTTTACTTTTTTTTTCCTCTCTTCCCCATCCCAGACAAGGAGCAACGATTATGTCCTTTTATGTGCTTAAAGACTTCAGTTCTTTCCTCCTTCGGGTTAGAGAATTTCAGTTCTTTCAGGCTTCCCGGGTAGGCACTGGTTTCTTGATTTTTGGCTTGTTCTCTCCCAGGCTGGATCCAATTACCCCACACCTCCCCCCAACTTATTTTCCATCACCTCAACACCATGACATAACTGACTCGTGTTCAGCTTTTGATCCTTTTTCTGAAGAATTGCTACTTAACCCATCACTCCCTCCTCTGTACTTGGGGAGTTCATATTGCTGCTCAAGTGGACGACCTTCCACTTACCCTCATTCAACTGCCTCCTGTTTCTTCCACACCATTTCCCCAATTTGCTCACAGAGTTTTTGAATCTAGTCCCTCCCAACACCACATCTACACTTTTATTTCAAGTGGAAAGTATTATATCCTTACGTTTGTACTTTATGACAAAAGAAAACAAAACTGAAGTCGAACTGAATGGGGTTGCAGGGTGAAATCCCTCTCAAAACCACCTTTTACTTGAACAAGACATTGCTGGCAGTGGCATCCTGGAAGAGGTTATTCAAATGGGTTTGTACCTACTTTCTACAGGAGCGAGTTTTCCCTGCTGGCTTCAAGCATCAAACACCAAACAACTGTGACAGCCACACAACATCATTGCAGTCAGGCCTCCCCTGCTTCTCACCTCCACCCAAAACCTCCTTTTTGTGCTGCTGTGTCCATGTCCCAGCCATCCTCGTCCCATATATCCTCACCTTCCACCTCACCGCAGCCACTGCGGCTGCCCAGACCCAGCATGCCAGTGGGAAATGCCCACTGTGCCCGCCCAGTAGCGGGCTCAGGACAGTGCCGTGGGACAGACGGAAATAAAGACACACGAGGATGATTAAAACCTCTTATGTCCTAGAAGAGGCTAAAGACGGGGCACAGGCAGTAACGGAGCCTGCAGCTCGACGCTGCGAGGCAGCCCGGGCCTCGCCGCGCACCTCCACCTGCTCCCAGCCCGGCCCCGGGGTCAGCGCGGCCCGCGGCTGCCCCCTGCCGGAGCGGCCTGCACGGACGGCTGCTGAGGGGTACCGGGCCCGGAGCCCGCGGGAGCCGAGCAGGCAGGAGGGGGAGCCGCCCACCTCAGCCCGCCCTCGGGGAGGCGGGCGGGCCGTGCCCGCAGGTGCTGCTTGCAGGAGCTATGAGGGCTCTGTAGGCGGGCGCCCAGCCGGGAGAGCTGCCACGCTCAGCGAGACACTGCTCCGAGACCCCTCAGAGGCAGAATGAAAGGTGTCCCAGCTCAGTCCTGACTGCCCCTCCCTACCTTCAAACACAGAGAGCTGAACGGAGGAGGAAACGAGGTGGAAGTAAGCTGGCCTAGACAGACCGTAGGACGGAACATAGAATGGTTTCGGTTGGAAGGGACCTTAAGGCTCATGTAGTTCCAACCCCCTGCCACAGGCAGGGACACTTCCCACTAGATCAGGTGGCTCAAAGCACCGTCCTTGAACACTTCCAGATCTCCCTGCTCTGCTCCCCGTGGCCCAGCCCAGGCTCCTTGCTATTGCCAGTAATAACAATTAGACTTCTGTTCCCATTTTTCAGCCATAACTCGCTACTGGGATAGGACTAAAAACTGCACCTATGCTTTAAGGCAGAGAGCCATGTGATGGGACCCAACACTGGAGCTTGTACTTCCTGCAGTGATGGGAGAATACCAGAAGGTCCCCATGTCCATGGGGAGATTTCACCCCAGCACAACACTAATAACAATCAGTTGATTCTTGAGCAGGGAAGGCTCTAGCCCATATGACCCACAGAAGACTAGAAAGAAGATCAAATCCTGTCCTCCAAACAACCACCTTTCAGGGGCTCCAAACAACAGGTTTTGCACAGTCACGTCTGCATCCCTGGAAAGGGCTGCTCTTGGAGCGTTTAAAGCTCAGTCTCAGATCTATTCCATATGGTCATCTCCTACTCTGCACCCCAGCTTCAGGCTGCCTGTGCCTCCTCCACCCCACAGCTCCCAGCTAGTCTCCACTCCCTGCAATGGGCACTGCTTGGCCATGGCTCTTTTAGCTGTATTTAAAGATCTGTACATTTCCAGTACATGTGCCCAAAAGCTCTCATTACTTACCTTTGTCAAGAGCAATGGCTGCACGCCAGAGTTGAAAGAGGACTAGATGTCACTCCTGTACAGGTGGACAGAGGTTTCACTAGCCTACTATATGCCAGTGCAAGCAGTATAGTAGAGGAGTGATGGGAACATGGGTCTTACTGACAGCTCACTAGGTCAGGGGCAGGGAAGGTCAGGCTGCCCCTTAGCATCCACCTCCCACGCCCTTTTGCCTGTTTGTTCTGCCAGTGAGGGCATTTCATCGCTCCACTCACGGCCACAAGGCAAGAAGAGGAAAAAGCCAGTAAGAAGAGCCCATATGGCACCACAGCAGGTATACAAGAGACAGAACCTAGAACCACCTTTGCTCTGCAGGCTCATTTCTAGCTCTCTCTAAACTACCTCACTCAGCAAGCGTCCAAGAGCACCTCCTGCCCCTGGCCCTGTGCTGTACCCATCTTGCCAGCAAGCGCAGCTGTGGCTTGGCTGCCATTCCCTGAAGCCTACAAGGAGCCCACCTGCCTGATATGGATGTGCCTCCCAGCAGCACCAGCAATTAGCACACGCAGGAGAGGACCTGGGCAGGCAGGCTGCACCCCTCCTAATTGACTCAAGGAAGAGGAACACTTGAACTTTCTCCAAAAGGAAGCACAAGCTCCAGCTTCCCCACATTCATTTACTCACTGAGCTTGCCCAAACCTGCAAGTAGGCATCAGCTTGCAGACAGACAGATGAGAGGAAGCAGAGTTAGGCCAACACAAAGCAGCTGGAGGTATTGACCCTTCTGGCAGTTTGGATGCAGACCTTGGGCTCAGCTTAAACATGTCTTTCTTCCCTTCTCATCTCATGGAAGGACTGGCCCTTCTCAGTCATTATTTTCTTCAGCATGACTCATTCCAGCTACAAGTCCATCGTATCCTTCAACACTGCCTAACCAGGCCCTGCAAAACACACCAGGGAGAACTCCATCTGAGCACCTATACCCCTTCCGTACCGGCAATTCCTGAGAAGCAGACAATCACGTATCACATTTTGTTTTAACCACACAATGAATTTACCAGTATTTTTCTAGAATGTCATACATCATAATTGTATAACTTAGAGTAAAGCTTAAGACCAATACAGAGAGCAATAATCTGTTGAGAACAATCTGCCCTTCAGGTGATTAGCCAAGAGCTTCACTTCTTAAGCCTCTCTGTGACAGAGTTTTAGGTTAAGAGTTCTTACATAGCACAAAGTCTGCTCAGCAATGAATGCAAACAATGCCACAGAACAGTAACTGCAGGTGCAAAGGAGGAAAGGCTAGAGGCATGACAGTGCTTCAACTTTTATTTTCCTCAAAAACACAAAAAGAATTAAAACAATTCTAAAAGCCACAAAGCTTTATCATACTTCACAATACATATATACCAATTGCACTTCCCACTTAGACTAACCAGCAGGGAGGTCTTGTATCCAGGCCTTTATGTCTGTGGGTGCATGAAGCCATTGCATTTACTTCAGGTACAGAACAAGTGACAGGACAAACGTATAGTAGAGTCATTCCAATTTGGTTCAAGGACAGGAAGCTCTCCTGAGAGGGATGCTCTGCTGTTGACTGGAAGCCATGTTCAGCAGATACTGCTCACATTGTCTACAGATGTCTGCAGTCAGCCAGTCTGCCACAGGCCCTGTGTAACAGCACAGAGGCCGTGCTAGGCAATGGGGTTCCAAAGTAACAGGTACACTGGAGTGGGAGAGGGGAAAAAGAAAAGCAGGAAAGCTAGCACAGGTTTTTGTTGCAGGACATAGCACTCTTCCACCCTTCCCCCCTTCTGTGGTCCAACACTGTTAAGTGATTCAGCTAGATGCACGAGTTCAACAGAGCAGCCAGCTTCACTTAGAAAGGCTACTAAGCACCAAAACAGGTTAATTTACTGACCCCTTCTCTCTCTTGACAGTATGCCAGCCAAAGGGCTGAGGGCTAATGGGTATCTGGTTGATCCAAGGTTATGGCTACATCCTTATCCTGTATGTTTGGGTTTGTTTTTTTTTTTGCCATCCTGAAGTATGGCAGTAATGCAGTCACTCAGACCTCTTCTGCAGCACCTGCATTGTAAGAGAGACCAAACCACCACCCCACATAGCTAGCTTCAGTAGTAAACACTACCTCTGATCTTTGGCAACTGAAGTACAAGCCTTTGAACCAGAAACTGCTGTGACTTTGACCCATTAAAGAATGGGTTCAGAGAGAAAAGATGCCTGTTCCTGCAGTACAACATATAACTGATTTGGAAAGATAAGAGATAACACATGTTTTCAGTCCCTAGATATTGTACTTATACCCAAAAGATCTTTCTTTTCCACCCAGAACTGTCAAAAGCTCTTTTTGAAATAGTTCCCTTTCTGTGGACAAAAAGGAAGGGGTGTCTGTGTATATCTGGAGGGAGTGAGAAGCCATCTGTGGCATTACTCTTCAGGCACTTGCAGCTGAGACCATTAGCACACTAGGTAGAAGGGGGCTCTTTTGGGTTGTAGTGACAGACCTCTGGCTGCAGGGGATAGAGTATAATAGGGTCTGGAAATTCTCATACAAATGAAGCTGTCACAAGGAACCTTCTATGTCTGGACTAATATGGACACTTCTGAACCCAAGTCAGAAGCCTGTTAGCTCAAAGCAAAATGGATTTCACCTACGCATCCTCCATTTTGGTCATCCAAAATTGATACTTCCAGAGAACAGCAGACTAGTTAGATGAGTGGCTAAACCAGTCATTCAGCATAACATTCAGCTGACCAGCACAATACTACGTACTGCTGTAAGCATGTTTGTAGACTTGCTTATACAGGCAACATCTTTTAAGGCAAACCAGAACATCCCTGTTGCAGCTTACCCAGAATACTCCCAGTGCTCTATTTCATGCAGCAGCTCTAAGCTCTTCTGCTCTTGAGTAGCTGGGTCCTCCTCTCTGGAGAGTCTCAGAAGTTTCAGAAAGTGAAGTGGGAGATGTACACATGTTCTGAAGGGCATGGACATCTGGAATCACAACACAAGTCACCTGAGTTCTCAGGGAAAACATATGCTCCTCCTTAGCAGGAAAATTCACATGGCATGCAATTGATTTATTGGTGCACTTAGAAGATAGACATTAAAGCAGTGAACTTTCTGACCCTTGTATAAATAGAGCACAGAGTAATCCCAACCACTTTACACAGGATGAAAGAAAAAGAAACCAGAGCTGTGTTAGCCAAATATGACAAGATATGTCTGTGGCACCCTGGCTGCTTTTGCACCTTGTAGTATTCCCTCTCCTTTATTCTCAGAAACAAGCTAGACTGTACACCTGAGGTATGAGTGGGATGACAGAAAGCTTCTTATGACTAGGTGAGGTGCAGGGAAAACAGAAAATGTAGAACATCCATATGCTGTTGTAAAGACTTGATTTACCTTGATGCAGCAGTCACAGCAGACAACACTAAGAGAAAAAAAGTTCCCAGTATTATCATTTGAGCAAAGCTCCATGAAAATACCAAAACTGCAGCTAAGGGTGACTCTCCCAGGGAAGTCTTAATTTGTGACTGTGGCACAATCACTTGATGGCAAAGTAAGCAAGCTTAGAACTACTCAGTTTGCCAACCTTCCTATTTATCCTAATTAAAATAATCTGAAATGATGTACAAATGCAGATCTGAAATGAAGCATACATAGTTTGAAGGCTTTAACTGCAAACACCCACTACTTTTCATCCAGCACTACCACCAGCAAGTTACTCAGTTTCCAATGGCTTATTCGTTGCTTCTAATCAATTCAGTGCTTCAAATAGATTTAAGAAGAGCCTTGATGAGCGTGAAGTTCCTCCCATGAACAAAAACCCTCAGACAAATAAGTGGATACAAGTAGGTCCAACTCCTTTTCCAGTCACAGGGTCTGAAGTTCACTTTTTCAGTCCTCACCAGAATATTCTGGTGCACAGCCTCTCCCAGAATCTGCTCAAGCCCCTGACAGAAGTTAAATCCAGGCTTTAGAGCAGAATGCAGAGCACAATCTCAGAGAAATTTAATCTAATACATGCACAATATATTTGGTTATTGCTAGCTTAATACTAAGAGTTAAAATAGAGATACCACTTCAGAGGCAAGTTTTTCCACATCCTCTGCAGCTGTAGACACTTCAACCTGGCTTGTGCATTAAGACAAAACTGAAGGGCTCAGCAATCTGCTCCTATCCAGTTCTGCAACTGTTAGAATACAGAGTACTTTTCAGCACTGTTTCTTTACTCTTTTTTCCCCTCCTTATTCAGTCCTTTTGTACCAGCTCACCTGCTGCAGAGGTAACAGCTGTAAGGCCACTTAAGGAACATCTGCTTATGGCAGCTGAAACAGATCTGTGGAAAGAAAAATTACTTGTGAATGCAAATGGTAAATATCTTTGTGCCAACAGTATCCACTGCCTGCCAAAGAGCAAGCATATAAACCAACCTTCTAAAGGCTTTAGATTCACATACAATAACAGAGATCCAGTAAAGGATAGCAAAGACCCAAGAATTATAAAAGCTAAAAAGGCAAAAAAGGTCTTACTTGTAGGCCAGTGTTTTTATGATGCAGAGGTTTGGGGCAGCTGCCAGACAACAGGAGTGTTAAAAAAGCTCTCTTGAGCAAACAATAGCTGTATTGTGCAAGAGTGTAACAGTAGCTAGTTAAGACAGAGAGAAGAAGAGAGACATTCTTTGAGGTAGACTGCAGCAGTCCCAAAGAGATTAAGTTAGGGCAAATTTCAATCGAATCCTGAAGCAAAAAATGAGTCATAAGGAAGCTGATGAGTCACTTGAACTTTATAAAAAAAGGAATACATTCATACACAGCTGGCAGTCAGAAGTGATATTATCTTGAGAAGCAGAGCTTGAGAAAGCTAAAAAAAACTTCAGCAGCGACAACAAAGAGAGTAAGAGAGCCATTTTAGAATAGGCAGGCAGCAGGCAAGTTAAAGCAGGGTTAGTAACTACTAGGCAAGAAGAACACAAGGATTCAGTCTCAGGACCATCAGACAGATTGTGGCAGCAGCACAGCTCTGCTAGTAGAACCCTTTGGCTCTGCCTGTACTGCTAAATAAGTGAGGGCAAGAAGCTGACCCTGAAGCCAAGTAGCACAGACTTCCTCACATCTGTGGTGTAAAGGCCTTGTACTCACAACATCTGTTATAGCAGGACTGGTTACAACACCCTATCTAAAGGGGCTCAATGAATAAGCCAGCAGTTGAGCAGAGTGGACAGCCAACAGGACTGCAGATCACCCTGCCCTCATCTCACTGACCTCTGCCTTCACTCAGCAATTCAGCTGCCTTCACAGTCAGCATAACTCAGGTGTGGGAGCCTGAGTTAAGAGCCTTTGTCTGTTTAGCAGTACCAAACCCCAGCTAGTTACTGTGATTTCAGAGCTGGCCAACAGACTTGGCAGTCTGCTCTCCTAGCATGGAAATAATAGTACAAGAAGCATTAAGCAAAGGCTGAGTTACTTTCTACACAACTCACACAGCTTAAGCTTGATTAGAAGCCATTACCACACAATGTGTTAAAAGATTTTTACAGCCTAGGGCCAAACACAATGTATTAAAAGATTTTTACAGCCTATGGCCAAACATGGATCAGCTGTATGAACAGGATATCTTAAGACAGAGCACCTCAGAGTTCAGCACTAAAGGCCATGAATCCAGTCAGCTTTTGAAAAGGCAAGGACAACACAAAGAGAAAGAGAAGAAACATACCTTTGCTTTTGGAAAGATGCCATCACTACCTCCTTGGAGGAAGCCTTGCCCTTCCAGCACCATCACTGCATATCTGGTTCCCATCAGCTCAGCAATGGTAGGTGTTGGCCACTTTGTAGGAGAGTCCTATCAAAAAGACAGAAGTTAAGCATTCAGAGAAAGCTGAAGGAAGTAGATACCTGAGGAGGTCACGCTCAAAACTCAGTTCCAAAAGGCTCAGGAGCATTTGTCCCCAAAACTCAGCTTTGCCAGTGATAAGGAACATCAGTTGACTCTTTGATAATACTAGCAAAGGGACTACTAGAGGGGTTTTAGTGGTTGCTACAGTTTTCAAGCAACTTCCTGACACCTCATTAGGTAAGCAGGTCACTCGGTACCCACAGTAGTTAATACCATGTCCAGAGCCAGCCTTCAGGGAATTTTACCCTTTGGTACAGATCACAGCACAGATGGCCTCCTGGCCCCTCTTTGGTACAGGATCCCTTTCCACAACATAACACTCTCTTACCTGCTCTTTCTCAAGACTCACTAGCTCCACACCAATGGCAGCTATGGTGTGGTGATTAACCAGGAGACAACAGTGCTTTTATCCCCAGGTGGGGAGCCCAGCCCACCTGCATTCACTACTGAATGAAGAGGTCACACAGAGTTATGGCCAGTTTAGAGACTTGCCAGGGTGGTGCAGGAGATGCAGAAGGAAAGGAGGCAAGGGCACAGCACACTTCATCAGGTGAGGCCATAATTCAGAAGGCTGCACAGGTGCACACAAAACACATCATCGCTCCCACAACAGTCATTCAAATCCTGATAACTTCAGTACCACATATATTTAAAAGTTTGTGACTGTATCAGAATCTAAAATGAATGAGAGGAGAAGGAAAAAGCACAAACAGCCCCGCAGTCTGCTTGAGGAAGCCTTGACAGACACTTTCAAGTAATGCAGTGGTATATTTTTCCCTTTTTGTATGAGGAGCAACTCTATTTCCTATCACGCAAACTGGGAAGCCTCCAAAAAGACAGTAGAGCATCCAGTGTTCAATTAAGCATCTCCAAGGAGTGAATAATATATCAGCTTAATATCAGTATACAATATGGTGCAAGATGAAAACCACAAAACATGCTTACTGCTTGCACAGAGATCAAGGTGCAAGCTCTGGTCATTACCACATGTATCAGACCAGGCGTGCTAGCTGACATGCTGGACTTACAAGCTTGTTGCTTTGAAGGCCTCTCTCTACAGATTTGGACCTTCCTCTGTAAGGAGGCAGCTGCATTTGGCCAGCATTCAGAAAGCGATTACGTTTAACGTCTGCTAGTGTGGGTGCACTCACAGGAGGACCTGTGCAACTTGCAGCAAGACCTGGAGAGGAAGAGAGTCTGAGGGTATAGAAAACCAGCAGGCAGTCCCTGAGTATTCACCCCAAAAGCTGAATGCTTAAGAGCATTACACTGCCTTCCGAAGGTAGCAAGGCTTACATTTCTCTCCCTCAACACCCATTAGCTCAGATAACAAAAAGCAGAGGTTACAGTAATTATGCTGGTTAGGAGGCAGTGACAAGGTTTCATTAGCACTATTTAGTTTAATAGTATCAAGTGGTGCACTTTCTACTTGAACTTTCAAAACACCCATTTAGCTTCTACTGTGGATTCCAGTTAGGCCTTTGGGGACACGCTATCATTGTTTTGAAGCCGCAGGAGCTATACAAGCTTCAGTCAACTGCAGAGCAATGGTTTTCTAAGGGCACCTCCCCAGAAGCATTACTCAGCATTGGAGCTTCTCCTGTTAAACTGCTTTCAGGTGATCAAAGGGTACAGTGAGCACAATGTAAGGCTTTGGGAACCCAGCAGGCCACTGACACATGGTCTAAACGTGCAGCTAGAAGTACACTGACCTGCACTGTTGCTGGATACTACTGCTGACCTAGTTGAGGCAAGCCAGGAGCAGGAGGGCAGGTTCAGAGTGTTTTCCTGTAGGCCAGAGGACAGGACAATCACTCCTATGAACATTAAAACTTCTGCAGGATTCAGATTTAAGAGACCAGAGCAGGCCTTGGCTCTATAGACTGCTATCATGCCACAGAAAAGGAGTGCTTAAACATGGCATGAGCTTCTGTAGCAGGAAGGACTTCAGGGAACCTAATAATACCACATTCCTTCACTTTGAAGAGACAAGATTGCCCACACTGGGATTTGGACCTGATGTCCCAAGCTACATGTGTATGCAGATCTAGTGCCTCTCCAGACTCCTTTCACTTGAAGCCTTACCTGAAATCCTGGTCCCAGCTGCTGTCTTGTAGTGTCGACAATTTTAAACGCTGTACTGTCATCCTGGAGAGTCTGGAAACTATTGCTCGGAGATTTCAAGGCAGTACTTAGTGTCACAAGCGTTTCTGCATGGGAGAGGGGAACAAAAACCCCCATATACACAGACAAGATAAAGATATCGTGCTGTGACAAAATAACAAATTTGATATCCACACATCAGAATTTGATATTTGGCTAGAATTTGTCATGCTAGTAACAATCTTTTAGCCTTAGGTAATGGTCAAAATCTTGCTCTTTCACTTAGTGGACAGACAAATTTGAACTTCCATTTAATAAAGGGTAAGTTGAAACATCTTTTGAGACTTAATAACCCATAAACAGATTTTCTAGAAAGAACCATTCTTATGCCATACCACCTCTATCACACAAAATTTGCATCCCACCTCCCTTGCATTTTACATGCTCTGGAAAAGATGAGTGGCCTTCCATTTCAAAAGCCATCTATTACTTTTAATTAACACTGACTTTACTTGTATGCTTGATAGGTCACTTTGTAGCAGGTACCTTTGGACCTGCTCCCATTTTCCCTTGCTGCTGATGACTGAAGCTTCTGCAGTTGTTTTACTTTCACCATGAGCTGTTCATGCCAGTTGGACTCCTGTGGCATATGCTCTTTCAGCTTCCTCTCCAGCACCTAGAAGCAAAACATAGGACAAGAAAAAGTCAAGAGCAAAGTGGCAACAGAACTATTTCTTCAGCAATGGCACTGTTTTAACAAGTGCCTCTCACTCACTGGACCCTGCACACAAAGGAAATTCTAGATAATGCATACTAGAATACTTTAGCAAGTCTCAAATTTGAAATGGAGAACTCCAGGAGTACTTTCAGGACCACAGAATGTTCCAAATGGGAGAAACAGTGGAGGAATTAAGGAGATTGATCATCTTTCTTCTATGCAGATATCACCTCCCATTTTCCTAACCACACATTTTGGCAGTAGGGTGTGCCCAAAAGTTAAGCATGATTAATATACCCTCCTCCCAAACCCAAACCAGTAACTCTGTATTCCTAGAAGTTGTCCTGTCAGCTGCAAAATCATCCTGTTTTGCTATCACTAGATGCAGCACCAGGTTACCTACAGGTTTCAGATGAGGCCTGGGGACAGCTACATCAGCTTTGGGGGTCCTGTGTTTCTGCTCAATCACCTGAAAGAACAGAAATTATGCTTAAACAACTCTGCTCCTGATACACAGTCCTATTCAGTGGCACACTCAATTACTCAAATCAGGATTTGGGAATGAGGAGGTGGGAAAGGCATAACAAAACTGAGTCGGGAAGTGAAGAATTATGAAATTAATTTACATGGGGTTTGGTAGAGACAGATTTACGAGGCTTGCACAAGAAGCATACAGCCTTCTAGCTTGTGAACTGATCTGAAAAGACACTAAATAACATTGTACTCAAATTTTAATATCAGGAATGATCCTGACAAGCAGGATCACATTCAGCAACAAGTCGGCTCCAGTGTGGAGAGTAACTGAATGGGTTAACAAGACTGTAACAGGAACAGTAGAAGCAGGCAGCTGTATGCATAAGCTACATATACATGCATAAGCTGTATACATAAGCTATATGTAAGCCAGAGACTGGCTTACAGTCCTACACAAACTAGAACAACAGCAAGATAGAATTGCAGAGCAGGTATTCACAGGAGGCAGACTGTCTCCATCATCAAGCCCTGTGCTTGCTGCATAGGAGAGAGCTGACAGAAGTAAAGTTGCACATGCATGTCTTTAGCTGCCTTATTTCACTTATTCTTACTTTGAGGCTATGCCATTTAATTTCCCTGTGTGTACAGCTTCCGAACAGGTGGGAGTGCAGGTAGAAAAACACTACAGCTTCCCACAATAGCTGTAGTTTTCATTCATTTGCAAATTAGACTACTGTTTGCTAGAGAAGCTTTACAATAGCTGATGGGGAAATCCTTGCTTAAGAGCCTTCACAAAGACCTGAGCAGTAGCACTCTATGCTTTCTTCTAGCATTTCTGACTACTACTCTTCAAGCATGTTTGTGCGTCTCTGTCAACCACAAATAAAAAAAGGAAATAAAATAAAGACCCAGCTCATCCTGCCACCTTGAGTTATGGCTCTGTACTGCACAGTGCATTGATACACAGTGCATTGCAAGGAACATAAGTAGTTACGATGTACTGTCTCCTTTCCACTACTATTCATTTATACATCAATGAAGATATCACATCCAGAGAAATGTCATAGCTTTATCTGGAGGCTGGAGTCACAGTCAAGACAAACAAGAGCTTGGATTTCATAAAGGTATAGGCTTTAGCTGAGACTTCTAACCCCCCTGCCCTCTAGCAGCATCAACAAGGAGAAAAAAAGCCAATGCCTAGTGCTGTATGCAAAGTTTTCACTTTTAAAAATACTCTTCATTACAAGTAGAGTTGTCTCATCTTCTGCCAAGGCGTCTGTTTGCAATAGCATGCCAATGCCACAAAGCCTTATGCCAATGTTTTAGATCTGCTCATCATTCCCAGCTCAAGCTGCAGCAAGTGAACAGCATCACAAGCCTTTAGAGACATCCCAGACATTTTTGTATCTGGTCATCTTCACCAACCAGCCACATTGTTGGAAGCTCCTGCCACTGGAGTCAGCATAGCAGCTGCCCCGGAAGGGAATCAGCAGTTTTTTTTACCCTGAGTAAACTCCTGCAGTAGCTCATGTACACTGCCTAGAATCCTCTGGCTGAGGCTGAGCAAAGGACTCAAAAGTGCTTTTGCACTTGCACATATCCCACATCTGGGAAGGCAAGGAAACAAGTGAGAGATGCCAGGTACAGCTCAGCTCAAGGAGCCTGGGAGGACACGAGTGTGCAAGGTGGGAAGCATAAGTGGGCAAAAGCATTTCATGAAACTGCTGCATGCAAGGCAACACAATTGTTCCAGGAAAGGGAGTCGCTGACCCCTGGAGGGAGAAAAAGTTCACCATCCAGCTTTAGGAAAGAATGGATACCCCCAACTTAAAAAGTTACAGCAAATTAAGAACCTGAGTGGACAAACAGGGTGAATTAATGCCGAGTTGCAGCTGAGAGGGTACTTCTAAGTCCAGATGCTTCTGGACTTGGAAGTACCTTTGAGAAAGCCAGTCTTTTGGAGGAGAGGTCTCAACAAATACTGTTTAGAAATGAGGTAGAACAGGTGGTTTCAAAGTTGTCCATTAACTCCAGTCACTCACCTTCCGAAGGGTGAACCTCTTGCACTGAATATCATCCAAAAGTAATTCATAGGGAGAACGGATACGTTCTGCTGGAGGCAAGCGATGCTGTGGTCGCTCAGTAGCTTTACGCAGCTTCACACCATTCTGCAGCTCGCGAACAACAGTGGGCCACAAGAATGCCTCAGAGAAACCAGTTAGGGCCTAGTCAACAACTGTCTAGAACACATGGGAGTAGATCCCATCCCATCCCTCCATGTAATAGGGCACACTTAGCAGCTGAAGTCATTCAGAAATACAAAAGTGTGTCCTCTTAACACTAGTTTCAACTCACTGCCAGATTAGGGCCCAGTACCACAGCAGAGAATTGCTTATCTTTGCAGAAGTTAATTTACAACAAGGGAGCTGGCTCACCAGGCTTATTCCCAAATTTTGTCATTAACTTCATGAACATACTTTATCAAAACACAGCTTCTGCTGCCAGGTAGCTGGAGCCATTTTCTTGAATACCTGAATGCTTCCTGCTAGTGCTCCAGGTGCCAGAGCTTTTTCATATTATTTGATCCAAGAAAACCTTAGGAATTAAATACCTAATCTTACCATTAAAATCCTCTGAACTTTCAGAAACCAAGGGCTGAAGGGTCCGCAGACAAAGAAATAAACGAAAAGGGTATCTCATACTTCAACCTTGCCAGCAGCCTACATTAGCAGTTTCAGCCTGGAGACAAAACCTGATAATTGACATCTGCTCATCCTGTTCCTGTATTAATATCTGCGGATGCTCAGGCATGCAGTGTAACCCAACAAAAGTTAAAAGCAGAAAAAAAAAAAATAAATCAACTCAATAGCATGTTTAAACAACACTGTAATGGAAGTGCTAAGTCAACAGCTTATCTGGATCCCAAAGGCAAACTGAGCGAGAACAAGTGATTGTATTATAAACAGCGAAAGGGAAGCAAAATATTTTAGACCACTGCCTCAGCACAAAGTTTGATTTAAACTCCTCTCCCTTTTCCACTTACAGTATGAAGCACCTTCCTTCAACTTACCCCTTCAGCCATTCCATGGATTGTCACACAAAATGCTGCAACACTCTAAACCCATTGCCTTCAGTTCAACAGATGAGTGGCAAGACAGCTATGTTCTCACTGCTTAGATTTCAAGGCAAAGATTGTCTTGTGACATGTATGGATAAGCTCTGCAGAGCCTACATGCTATCAGGCTGTGATCTAGGTTTCAGAAGGCCTGTATTGTAGCAGTCCACACAGAAAAGTGTGGCCCAAAGAGAGCATTATCTGCTTGGCACCACTCAAGGCATCAGCTCTAATCTGTGGGATCCCAGTGAAGTTGGCAATCTGGTTATTTTAAACTTAAGAGTTTGTCAGAGCAATGCAACCAACTGGTGCTTAGGGACTTAGAAACTAGAGGCAGAAGACTTGCAACAGACATCCTGCTTTGGAATTCATGCCTCCTGAAGGAGCAGAGGCCAAATACACTGGCCTTCAGGCCACATGGCAAAGCCCATGTATTTATTCATGTATTCCCTGCAGAAAAGAGCTGTAGAAGTTGATGAGTTTGTGGTTTCAGATAGCTTGCCAGTTTATTTTAATAGATCACAAAATTGAGACTATGCCCAAACACACATTTCACAAACATTTTCATACAAATAGTTTGAGCAAGCTTCAAAGCAAGTGCTATTTAGACAAAGGGAGCAAGTCCACAGGTCTCCTGGGGCTTGATGTTTGCCTCCACAGACTCCAGACTACAGTGCATTTGTTTATGCTGGGCAGAGCTCCAGCCAGAAGAGCTATTTGTTTCTGATTGAGCCCTGACTGTGCAAGGCCTTGAAAAGAATAAGTTGCTTTATTTACCCCAAACAGAGTCCAAGATCTATGGAAGGAGAGGATGGAAAGACAAGAAAGGCAGTGAGCAGAAGGTACATCTCCAACCTTGCCCTCCTTCAGCCCTTTGTTTGAGCTGCTGGAGCTACACAACCACAAAGATGGACACAACTAATGGCCTTCAGTCCCCTCCAGCCCTGAACCAGCACGGACTCCATACAGAAAGAGTGAACTAGTCCACCCCAGTGCTGCCACCAACAGAAGAGTTTTTTGGGAGTTTTTAGTCCAGCTACAAGGGAGGAAGAGATTGCTTTTGGCAATTATCAGTCGCTGCCAAGAGCTGGAGGCTCACTTGCAGGAAGAAACACTTACTCTGAAGGCTGCCTCAAACTTCATTTTTAGAAGTTATTTAAGTTGAACCACAAAGACAATCTTTGTGAGGAATAAATGTCCATGTGAGATTAACACACAAATTGGTTTAGCTTCAAGTCCACTCTCCAGATTGTTTTGCAGACAACTCTTTAGCTACTTAAGCTTTGAACAACCTAACAAGTTTCATTTGATTTCATGTTCTACTTTTCAGAGAGGAGTCAATGGAAAGCCACAGAGCCAAGGTAAACAAAAAACCCACCCCCTCATAATGAAGGGATTAGATCCCTTACCCAGTGTTTGTCCTTCTTCTGAAGGGACTTTTCCACCATACCTTCCACATCCATTTTTCTCAGACTCTGAGAAAGAAGCACATGAAGTCATGATCTTGTACTGTTCACTACCAATTACTAATGTTAATCTGAAAAGCCTAGAAGCCTCAGACACCTAAACTTTCAAAAGCTACAACTTGTTAACATGGTGCAAAAACAGTAGACCTTCACATTGTGAAAATAACCCTTCAGCTAGGCACTCTATTTTTAGTGCAGCAGGAAGGTTACTTTAGAACTAGGTGAGTGTGTGAATGCAGAGGGAATAGCAGCTAAGGAGTGATCTCAAATGTACCTCTTTGGAGGTCTGGATGACAGTTATAAGCTTCTTAAGTTCCATATACCCGGTAAACAGTCTCCTACAGGTAATTTGGTAATGGCTGGTAGCCTCAGAAGACCTGGACAAGTGCTCCTCACAGGCCTGAAAGAAGTGCAGCTATTTAAGAGAAATCTTGAAATGAAAAATATGTTTGAATGGAATAAAGCAAGATTCAGTTTTCTCAATCCATAGTTAAAAAAAAAAAATCTTCCTCACTATTGCAGATGCAGAGGAACAAAGCAGCAAGATGTCCCATCTTATATGTACAATAATGTAAGTAGCTGTGTTATTTATCTTGCTCTCCATAAGATGGAAAGTTTCTTATACCTTTAAATTATGGTTGAGAGGAAAATATTAGTTTGAGTCAAGACATTCAAATCCCAGCTTTTGCAGAAACTGAACAGTAAGGACAAGTGACACCCCCCCGCCTCCCATTATCCATAGTCTTCTAGGTATTTGAAGACTATGTACAGAAGCACTTTGTAGACACAGCTGTACAAGAGCCATGTCCAATCTTCCTTCTTATTTCTTTTCCATAGGCACTTGAGTGCATTTAAACTTGTTTTGAGATTTTACTCTGATTGGAAAGCCATATGCTCCCTCTGTGCCCTCCAGCAAGCTGCTGAGCCTTTTCCCAGAAGTGGTCTTGCCCTTAGTTAACAGCATGGTTCCTCAACTCTTCTAAAGCTATTATATTATTAAGTGGGAAAAAGAAAACCTTGATAACATCCTGCAGGGTGACTGCTGGTTTCATTGCCCCCTCATCCAATTTCAACATGAGGTACAGCAGTTTCTCCAAAGGATCACTCAGTTCTCGCTCCACTTGGTCACTGATTCCCCAGTCCAGGGCTTCATAGATCACCATTCCCAAGTACTCCAACAGCTGCAGATAGAGACCAAGGAAACAGTGTAGTGCAAAGTGTTGTGGAAAACTTCACAGCTATAACTTCCCAACCATGAGTGTACCCTCCACTGCTTCTCAGGGCTGAGCACCACTCTCTGGAGAAGAAGGCCCCAAAAGGCACCTAGATGCTCACTGGATAGCCTGAGATACTACCTAAATAAGCTGCTTTAAGATTTTAAAGCAGCCTTATCTAGCACCTCTAAGTTATACGTCATTAAGACAAAAAAAGACTGTGGGCTATTCCACAATAGGCAGCATCTGTCCACATTGTTTCCCAGCCCCACTGTCTTGCTGGAGTTCAGTCCTGGCATTCTGTTTCATTTTCCAGATTGCAAGGGACAGTCACTCTCAAAGGGCACAGCAAGTTTAAGCACTTTCATAGTTTAAAAAGACATCTGCATCTCCTGAACTGGCTTTCTACTACAGCAGCATTGTATCGGCACACGTAACAAACGTGAAGACATAGGCTTACCTTGTCCTCTGACTGTTGAATGCTGCCAACATCTGAAAAGGAAAGAAGGGGGGAAGAAAAAGATAACTGCATAGGCACTGACAAACAGCTTTTGGAATCCCTCTCAAGAGAGGGAAATAGAAGAATTCTTGGCAATAAGGAAACAAACCCCTCTAACATCAGTCCCACCTGCAGAATAAGACATATATTTAGAAACTCCTGAAAAGCAATACAGGATGCTCTCCTTGTTATGAGCATTAACCCCAAACTAACAGCTGCAGGATACTTTTTTATATATATATATATATATATATGTGTGTGTGTATATATATATAAAGTAACTAATACATATCTAAACACAAGGAAGACCGAGGATCTTTTCCTTCATTCGTTATTAGCCGCTCTTGTCCCTAGAGGGTTAGCCCAGCATTGACCAGTGCAGTAGTGCAGCCAAGCTATGCGTAAGAAAAGCATGTTGCCACTTGCTGGCTACATGTAGTGACAAAAAAAGGGAAACTGACAATCATAGACCTGTCTTGAGAGTTACCATAACAAAGGAACCATAGTTTGGAAGATTAACAGACAAGGACATTTAATAAAGCCTCAGACTATTTATTTCAAATAACGTAAGCAGTAACAAAATTTTATCCCATCTATACCCTAGAACAAATAACTCATTAGGGCACTACCAGAAAAGCTAGGAGGCTGTATGTGTGTATTATCACCCATCTATGGTCGTTTGAAATTAAGTTCAGGCAGCAGAATAGCTTCATGACAATATACTAAAGGGGAAAGGGAGGAGAAGGGAAGGGTATTTCCTCGCTTTATGCCCCACATACCAGCCCATTATAAGAACAAGCCTTGGCAGCCCTTACACACACTTACCGGACTCATGGTACACCATGAAAGAAGCAGTACCATCAGCATGGATAAAGATACTTTCAGGACCATTTATGAATACAGAATGGAGAGGTGGACACAGCCCTTGGGCCAACTGCTTCATTTTACAGCAACATTGAAAGCAGACAGCCCAGGCTTGCTCCTCACTCAAAGGATGTTCAAAACACCTCAGAATCTCAACTAAAGAAACCTTTGCAATCCTCTGTTCACACCACAGAAACTCCATTTTCACCTTTACCCCTCAACTCCCATCCTATCCTAAGAAACCCAACACTCGCCTTCCTAGGCCATGCTGCTGCCTTTTATCCTCTTTGCCTCCTGGTTTGGTTTGCTCTCATCTCTTTCCTACAGGTGTGAGCATTAATACTAATTTTACTCTATAACTTTAAAGGGACACCACTTTAATCTGCATTTGCATGAGGCTCCTTGACAGAACAGAAAGCATACAGCAAATGTACTCTAAACATAAGACTGTAAAAAACATACTCAATTTTTACTCTATTATTCCTAACAAATCTATTAAGTGGAATACTAATGCTGGCAAGTGAAAAAAGGCTGCATTCAACTTCAGGCAGAGGGAAGGAGGCAGGAAATAATGTCTTAATACTCAGGAGAAAGTAACTCACAGAAAACCATGAAAAGTCAATCCATTTCATGGGAAGCTATTCTGGGAGCACTAATACATTACAGCAATCAACTCCACAGGGCACCTGCGTCCACCACAAGGCCCACTCCTGCCTGGCCTTGACCCTTTGGCTCTGCCATAAGAAATACCAGCAGCTAGGGCCGGGAGCAACCAGTGCATGCAGGGACCAGGCAAACCAGGTGAGCACTGAGAGCAGAGGCAGTTCAAAATGCTGACAGGAATTACTACTGGTGTGAGTAAGTTACACAGGGTTTTTGCACTTAAGGGTGTGTGTGAGGTGGGAAGGGACAGTTGTATGGCTTGTGATGGGGTCACCCCCTGAAGAGCCCTATTGCAGCCACAGTGCCTGCAGCACATTGTGAGGACCTCAGCTGCTCCTGCCCTGGCTCTGAAAAGCTGAATTCTGAAGGCAGGCGCTGAATTACAAAATCCTAGAACGGTTTGGGTTGGAAAGGACCGTAAGTTCATCCAGTTCTAACCCTCCTGCCACGGGTAGGGATGCCTCTTCTAGACCAGGTTGCTCAAAACCCCATCCAGCCTGGCCGTGAGCATTGTGAAGAACTGTGAGGTTTAAGAACTGTGAATATTTCATATTTCTTCCCCTTCTCACGACATTCTAGGAATGCAGTGTCAAGAGTCAAGCCCCGGGCCTTGGAAACATGTTGAGGCCAGTGTGTTCTGGTGTCACTACGCCATGTGGGGAGCGCTCACAGCCAGCAATGACCACCACGGCCAGGCACTGTTGTCTGCCCCATGGCCTCCAACCTGCCGCTGTGTCCTGGCTCAAGCGCAGAACCCAGGACATCCGGCATCAGCCTGGTCACGGTGCATGGCAAGGCTGCATCTGCACCGTAGTGGGGCGCAGCTGGGCTGGGCTCTCAGGCTTCGGCCCTGAAAGGCCGGAGGCGCGGGGGCTTCCCCTCCGCGGCCCAGGTGCCCGTCCGCCAGCAGCCCCGCTGCGCTGTGCGGGAAAAGGTGAGGTCACCCCAGGCACTGCGGACCCCAGCACCAAGCCCCACCCCAAACAGCTGCCGCACCGCCTGCCTGCCCGCCTGCCTGCCTGCCTGCCTGCCCGCCTGCCTGCCCGCCTGCCTCCTCCGGCCCTACCGCGGAGAGCAGCACCCCCCCGGAGTGACTTGGTCCGGCCCGCACCCTCCCTTCCCGACCGGCCAACATAGTCTCGCCCGCGTTCGGCCTCCCTCCTGTCCTGCGCGGCACCGCCTCCGTCTGAGGAAAGATGGCGGCGCCCGAGGCGGCGTGGAACCGGGTGGAGGTGCCGTGGCCCGCGAGCAGCGCTACGGTGGCCCTGGCGGCCGAACACCCTGCAGGTCCCCGCCGCGGGTCGGGGCGGGTGGGAAGGACGTTTTAAGCTACTCTCACGGTGTTCGCGGCGATTGGGGGGTGTGTGGGCTGTTGTGGTACGCGGTTGGTGCTGAGGCGGTGCGTGTGTCCTGCCCGCAGTGAGGTGTCTGCCGGCGCTGCGGCGCCTGTGCGCCACCGCCTGGAAGCGGCTGTCGGGGACGAGCCTGGCCGTCGAGGGACGCGTGCTGCGGGCCGTGCTCTACGTCTACCACAGCAGGCTGCTCCGGCACCGGCCGTACTTGGCCCTGCAGCAGGTGAGCGGCCCTGGCTATGCAGCAGGGACCTGGCGGCTGGTCGCTGCACTCCGGGCCCCAGTCAGGAGTCGTCTCTATGCGTGGCGCATCGTGTGAAAAGTGTTGTGGAGCAGGCGCCTTTTCGATGTCTTTAAACCTCCTCACGGTTTAGTTCGGTGGGATTCCAGGCTCTGTGCAACCAGTGCAATTTCGGCTTTCCAGACCTCTGGAATCAGTACTTGGATTTTTATACCCATGCTGTAGCCTAAAGTAGATACAATTGCATACATTTGAATACAAGCTGTGTGTAATATATGGTACTATAGAGTAATATAGTGATTTAATTTTCAATTAATTGTAAGGGGGGGGGGGTTAGAATAATCCTAGGCTGCTCTATTAGGCATGTTCTGGTTTAAGAACTCTTTAACCAGCTTTCTAGTTGTCGTGGTTTAAAACCAGACAGAGGGCTTGTTCACTCACTCCCCCCCTTCTTGCTCTCCCCCTACTCCCAGAGGGACGGAGAGGAGAATCGAAACGAATGCAACTCCCACAGGTTGAGAGAAGAACAGTTTAGTAACTAAGGTATAACACAAATCACTACTGCTACTACCAATAATAACAATGATAAAGGAAATAACAAGGGAAGAGAATACATCACCTCACCACCAGCCAACCGATAACTCGCCCCCCCCCCCCCTCCAGCCCGACCAAGCACTAACCCATACCTCCTCCAACCCTGCAGTCTACCAGCGCTTCCGGCTAACTCACAGTTACATCCTGGGCATGACGTGGTATGGAATACCTCTTTGGTCAGTTTGGGTCAGGTGTCCTGTCTCTGCTTCCTCCTGGCTTCCCCTCCTCCCTGGCAGAGCATGAGGCTCACAAAGTCCTTGGCTAGACCAAAGCATCAGGCTGAAAGTCAAAACACAGCACTGCACCAACTACCAAGAAGGAGAAAAATGACTGCTACTGCTGAACCCAGGACACTAGTAAAGGGACTGCTAGTATCTTCAAATAACAGTTTTAAATAGAACAGGAATTACCGAATCACAGAACAGTTTGGATTGGAAAAGACCTTAAGATCATCCAGTTCCAACCCCCCTGCCAGGACAGGGACAGCATGTTGCCCAAGGCTCTGTCCAACCTGGCCTTGAGCACCACCAGGGATGGAGCATTCACAGCTTCTTTGGGCAACCCATTCCAGTGCCTCACCCCCTCCACAGTAAAGTATTTCTTCCTTATATCTAATCTAAACTTTTTCTGCTTAAGTTTAAACCCATTGCCCCTTGTCTTACTGCTACAGTTCCTGATGAAGAATCTTAGCTTCTCTGTTTATGCATTTTCATTCTTGAAAGCCAAAAGCAAGGGGTGGTGTAGCTGCTGTGCTTGGAGCTGGGGTAACTGCGCTGTCTGTTGCAGTTGAAGTTTGAGCAGCTGCTGTACTTGCCACTGGGGTAGCTGCTCTGTTCATTGAGGCCAAAGTTTGAGTAGCGACTGTACTTGTTGCTGGGGGTGGTGTAGCTGCTGTGCTTGGAGCTGGGGTAACCGCGCTGTCTGTTGCAGTTGAAGTTTGAGCAGCTGCTGTACTTGCCACTGGGGTAGCTGTGCTGTTCATTGCAGCCAAAGTTTGAGTAGCGACTGTTGCTTTGCTCTCAGATCCGCCGACATTCTTTTCTTTTTGAAGGTGCTGGATAGTGTTGAACAAGGCCCTGTAAGCATAGGCCAAGCCCCAGCACGTTGCCGTGATTTGTCCATCTCTGGTATGGCCAGAATGACCACACACCTCATTTAAGTGTTTTACTAATTCTTCTGGATTTTGTAGTTGTTCGGTGGTGAAATTCCAAAGTACTGGAGGGGCCCACTGACCTAGATACTTGCCCATACTATCCCACACACCCTGCCACTCATGGCTGTCCAGCCTCAGGGAAAATCTCTCGGTCCTCCTACATCGTCGTTTGACCCCAGACAAGACCCAAACCTGACTCTGCTTAACTCTTGAAATCAGTAGTGGGCAAAACACACTCTGTATGCGTGTTAGCATGGTGATTCCCATCAGCAAACAAGTCTCAACAGCATTAAAATGCCATTCAAAAAATTCAAAACTCTCAAATGTAAATGGTCTGGGGGGACAACTGGGAGGGTAAAAGAATGTCTCCTTCACAGGTTGAGCACCTGAGAAGGAGAAAAAAGATGTGTAATTGCTAAGCACCTCCATCATATACCTCCCAAAGTATAAAGGTGGTGACCACACTGGGAACATAAGCCAGATCAGTTTCATGATCAATGATTCTATTGTATTACAAGTCATTACCATAAAGTACAATGGGACAAAAACCTTAGCCCAAGCCCCACACTTGAAAAACACTAATACAGCAAATACCGGATGGACGTAAGATACTATATACTGAAACTGTGAGATCAAGAGGAACAACCTTGAGAGCCAATAAATCAGCATTGTGACGAGTGACTATCAATCCAGTCAGATCTGTTCTTATCTCAACCCTTCGTGCCCCACGTTGGGCGCCAAAAAGAACTGTCGTGGTTTAAACCCAGTCAGGTAACTTGTTCACTCACTCCCAGTGAGTGGTGCCGAGCTGACAACAATCGAGGTCCGTGCCCCCCCCCCCCCCCCCCCACCGGGGTTCTCCCCCACTCCCGGAGGAACGGGGAGGAGGATCGAAAAAAAGTGCAACTCCCACGGGTTGAGACAAGAACAGTCCAGCAACCAATGTACACAAATCACCACCGCTACTATCAACTACAACAATGATAAGGGAAAATAACAAGGGAAGAGAATATGATAACACCGGCCGAGAAAACGAGTCCCACCCGGAAGCCCGTGTCCTTCCGGGTAACTCCCAGTCACCCCCCACCCCAGCCATGACGTGCTGTGGTATGGAATACCTCCCTGGCTAGCCCGGGTCAGGCGCCCCGTCTCTGCTTCCTCACAGCTTCCCCTCCTCCCTGGCAGAGCATGAGCCTCACAAAGTCCTTGGTCAGGGTAAACATCACTTAGCAACAACTGAAAACATCGACTTCACCAACACTGTTCTCAGGCTGGAAGTCAAAACACAGCACTGTACCAGCTACCACAAAGGAAAAAAAAAAACATGACTGCTACTGCTGAACCCAGGACAGTATGCAATACTGAAGGTATGCAGCACCAGTTAACAGTGGCCTACTCCAAACCTTCACCTCATTCCATATTGACAGTGGTGTGATAAAGGGAACTTTTTCATCATAGTGCAGATACAGGAACATATCAGAATATTCCATTATACAAACCTGCATTTTTTTCTGTTAAACTGATAGTGTCACTTGATAGAGTAATAGTTCTTAGGCCAATGCACTCCTATCTCTCAAAATGCCAGTCAAAGGGGTTTTCTTTTTTCTAGGTAGAGCAATGCTTGAAGCGCCTATGGAAAATGAACTTGGTGGGCTGCATTGAAACCCTGGCAGAACTTATTCCCAAGTAAGTGTTGTGATCCCCTATAGTGTACTATCCAGTATGCAGAGCTAAAGGGATGGGGTGCTAGACCATAACCATCT